GCCGAGTCATTTGACCATATAAGGACACACGCGCAGGGGCGGCGGGCTGGGCGCGCGGGCCAAGGGAGCAGGGCGCGGTGGCGGGGGCCCCCCGAGCGCCTGTCGTCGCGTGTTCCCCCCTGCTGCAGCTGCTGCGGACCCTTTGTTTGACTTAACGTTCTTCTTTACTTCCCGGTGTGTGGCGCACAGAGTCAAGCCTCCCTGCGCCCTGGCCTCCGCTCCAGGGGCCAGTGGCAGTGCAGTGCAGAGGGTTGTGGCCGCTGTCACCTAAGGGCAGAATGACATGGGTCTATTCTCACCAGGACCCTCCTCTGGGTTGCTGGGTCTGCGCCTGGTCGCCGTCTGGGCAAGCATGGGTGGGCCATTTGGAGATTTGGGGGAGGAACGATGTGTGCGTAGGGCATGCACTGGCATGGTAGTTTCCCCGGCCTTCCCTTGCAAATACCTCTCCGTGGTGGAATGAACCCAACCAATGACGTAAAGAATCTTTAATGACTCTGTTCCACCAGGTAGCTGACTGAGAGAAGGTTGAGAGCTGTTTAGCTGTTGACATTCAGTGGCTCCATGCAGGCAGAAAGCAAATGAAGGGCTTAATGTGTCCTTCATGCTCAAAGCCAAGGTCTTCTGCACAGAGCTGGCCCTTAGTAGGGACAGGAGGCAATGTCCAACATGGTGGTGGAAGGTACCCGCATCCCCACGTCTAGGAAGGGCAGCATCTGCTCTTGAGTAGGTGGGGGGCCCACATGCAGTGGCAGAGGCAAGGACTTCTCAGTGCTGTAACCTGACCAACAACTTAATGGAAGGATTCGTTTGGCTGCAGGGTTTATGAAGGAATACAGCTGGTCATCACTGAGATGGCATGGCCACTGTGAGAATGTCAAGTTGGTTGGTCACATTGCCTTCTCAGTCAGGAAACAGTTTAATTTCCCCTTTTCATCCAGTCTGAGAGGCCAGCTCTTGAGAGGTGCTGTCCACATTTGGGGGTCAGTCTTTGCCCCTCGGTTAAACCTCTCTGGAACTGCCCTCAAAGAGGTGTGTCTCCTAGGGGTTCCCAAGTTCAGCCAATCGACTGAAGGACCATCACAATGGTTTTGGGTGTAGGCATTCTCCAGGGGAGCTCGGGGTAACATATGTTAGAGAAGGCAGGGAGAGCTGTGGGATGGCTTTCTTCTCATTGATACTTCCTGACTGGCACCACAAGAGGATCCCCATGATGGAATCTCAGAACATGAGAGGCAAGGGGGGTCACATGACCTGTCACTTACTCGGCATCATATATATATATATATATATATATATATATATATATATATATATGAGGCAGAAGATCTCTATGAGTTCGAGACCAGCCTGGTCTACAAGAGCTAGTTCCAGGACAACAGCCTCCAAAGCCACAGAGAAACCCTGTCTCGAAAAACAGATTTTACCAGCTGAGATTTTCACCGGTGTCTATGAGATAGCAAGGCCATTTCAGTATCGTAAAGGATCAGAAATTCCCAATTCCTGTGGCTCACTCAGGTGATTCCCTGTGGTTAACACTTTTCTCTGAGGAGAATGGACATGCTGAGATTTGACACAGGAAATCCATTCCACTCCTATCCCCATCTTCAAAGTGAGGCATACCCTAAGTGACTTACCACTGATGGTCAAGATAGGCTGAACTGTGGATTCAAAGCGAAGTGTATGTAGACAGACCAATCGCTCTGAAGCTACTAACATTTACTTTCTCTATGAAAAGTTACAGGTATCGAAATGGTCTAGGTCTCTTAAGCCTCGGTTTTAAATACAGGTTCAAAAAATAAACCAATTTATCCCCTTCCTGCTTCCTTTTGTTTTATTTGTTTAAATTGTGTGAGTTACTAATTGCTGCAGCTGTACCACACTGATTATGTTGCTTTCTTTATTAAAAAGTCCTGTGACTTATTCTTGTATTTTGCTTTCGACATTAGAGAGCTATTAAATACCTCAATGGTCTTACGGTGAGGAAAATTCAGTCTCTCAAAACAGACTTACCCATTTCTACAATAATGCTAAGCGAGACAGCAGGAGAAGACAATGCAGCAAAAACCAACCAACCAACCAAACAAACAAACAAACAAACAAAAAACACCAACAACCAACTAACCACAATTTATGCTTGGATTTTGATCACAAAACAAACTATTAAAAGAAGAAATTTTGTATGAGCCAATCTGGGAAATTCTGGCATTGATAGGGTATTTGATGACATTAATAAGTCAGTAGTTTATTTTTATATGGAATTACATATACATTTTTTTTCTTCTTCTTTAAAGCTCCCTTGCTTTTCAGAAACTTTCCCAAAGTATTGAGCACTGAAGTAACATGTCAGGGTTAATTCAAGATAAATTGAGGTAGGGGAAGGAGACGGAGCTAAGATGTATATATAAAAAGGTTTCACCTGTGAATTTTTATAGTAACTAAAGCTCTATGGTAAATTGAGACTTCATCATACCTCTCTTTTCCCTTTGCAATGCTTGAAAAATCTCATGTTGAAAACTGTCTTTAAAATAAAAATGCATATACTGTTGGCCATTCCTAGGTTTCCGCCTTCCAGGGACCTACCTTGTATGTACTTGTTCTTGTGCAAAATGATATGCACACAAGAGCAATCACTGCAGAATTGTTTGTGACAGCAAAATACTGGACCAGATCAAGTGTCCACCAACAGGGGACTTGTTAAACACAGCATGGTACATTTTCAAATTATTTATGAGTGAAGCCATTAAAATTATGGTAAGTATATTTACTGATTTGGCGTGATCCCCAAGATACAGCAACCAAGAAAAATAAAAGTAGAGAACATTTCCTAGATTGTAGCCAGTCATTTGCCTTTGTGGACAAAGAGAGAAGAAACAATACATTCTTGTATGTGATGAGGCCTCAAGGCTGGGCGATTGGGGCAGGAGGGAAAGGAGACTTTTTTTTTTTTTTAATTTGTAGCTTTTATTTGTTTCCTGTGACATTCAAGAAACCCAAATGTGTTAACCATTAAAAAAAATGTATTTGTTAAGTGTTTTAAAACTGAAAGTAACACATGTTCATTTAAGAAGAATAAGAAACTAATTGCTTAGAGAGAATTAAAGAGTCAGGGAAGCTGTCCGGAAACAGGAAGGCTAAACAATTTCTGGGTTTAATATCACCTACTACTATGAACAACTCAAGGAATAAACTATTTAAAAATAAAAAAAAATACGAAATAATCTGGATTCAGGAACGAAACAGTCACTGAAAGATAGCTTATGACAATCTCTCATTTTTTTAAATAATGATTTTTTTTTATAGCACATTGGGTGAAGCATTCTGAAAAGTATAAATTCTACTGTGGAAGTATAGAGCCCTAAATTCAGACCTGTACCTTAGTGCCCTACCTACAATGAGAACTGTGAGCTCAGGTTAACCTCGAGGTTTCCTAGCCCTCAATTTACTTATTTATAACATGGCCTAGTTAATATCTATTTTAAAGAATTATTAGTCTTTAGTGGTCTTGCATGTAAGTCATCCAGGACCAAACCGTATAGCGCACAGTAGGTCCCCAGTAAACATTAGCTTTTATCCAAGGATAAAGGAGTGATGGATCCAAGGATAAGAAAGAAACATATGCATCAGGAGAAAGAATAAGACTTTGCTCTAGTTCTATAAATGGAAATTTTCTTCTGGAGAGAAAAACTCTGCTCTAGACAACAGGCTAGTTGGTCAAAGAAAAAGAAATTGAAAGAGATCTAGTTCCCTAAACAGAACCAAGCCACAATGAGGGCAAACAATAGGTGACTGCGTTCTTGGCCTGTAATTTTGTCACTAGCCAATAGTCTCTGGGCCCTGGGGCCACACAGCTGGTGGGGGGCGGGGATAATCTCCTAGCTGCGTGTCTCAAAACCAGTGTCCAGCTGCGCTCAGGATGCACGGGACCTTGTGAGAGTGCAAGTCCCTAGGGCAACAGCCCTCCAGGTGATTCCCCATGGGGCTTTGAGTGAAACAACTGCTTGGAATTCCAACTGCTTGGGCTAGGTTACTGTAATCCTGTGTCAGTCTCTGTGGGGAGAGCAGAGGCCGACCGACCAGACAGATCACCACTGGGAACACTAAAACCCAATCTCACATATCACATCCTCCATCATGGGAGAAAAGCACAGAAATGTCACAGTGTCAGAAGGTTCAGTCTGTGGATCAGAGTGATCCAAATACTGACATTGCTTTGGCTTGAAGACTGAGTATCTGGGGCAGGTGGATGCTACCACCTGGTGGCAAATCAACTAGGGAGAGAGGCTGGCTACAAGCCCAACTGTGAGGAACAGACCAGGGTCTCCTTCCTCTGCTGGTGGCCACTCGATGGGGACCAGGAGAACCTAATCATCACCAGGAAGAAAAGGAATACATGAAACAGGCCCAGGAGACAGACCTTCCCATATGGGTTTCACTATCTGGCCACTGGATAACTTCCAGCACACCTTTGTCCCATTGAAGAGAGATTCCTTCCACGAAGACATCCCCACTCAACCCTGGGCAGGAAGCGGCCTGGATGACTCAGCCTTGATTCAGAGCTCAACATCCAGTTGCCTCATATGGTCGGAAGGTGAGTAAGTGTCTAGGATCAGAAAGCCAGGACAATCCACAGAAGTGATCAAACACCGTGCTCTCTCCACCCGGGGATCTGAGGCAGGTGTCTGCATGCGTCTAGATGACACAGAAATGGTGTGTGGTGGCTCAGCAGGTTCTACGTGCTTTCTGGAAAACACTGTTGTCTTGCTCAGCAGAAAAACCAAGCAGTTGACAGGGCTCTAGTCTTGTCAGAGCATTTGCACACAAGGACTCCCAAAGGCTTCCTCCAATGAAGGGGAGAAGCTTGATTTCTTTAGAGCTCCCATCTGCCACCCATACTTTGTTCATTTGCCTGAGATTCCCAAGAGAAGCTCAGCATGCCAGCAAAGACCACCACCTCTCCTCTCAGGCTCTGTTTAGGAGGAAGATGCTTGGTTCTCTGGGATGCAGTTTCCATATCCTATTTCTTTCCTCTCTCTCTTTTTCACAAACTTATTTAATGGATGCAAATACTCAGCGTTTGAAGCCTCAAAACACGTCTGACTCCCAGCCAAACCCACAAACGACTCTATGATTCTGAGTTTTCCATGGGTGGTTAAAGCTTGCTTGGAACATTGGATGCAAGTTTCCACTGTGGCTTTGATAGCACACCGAGAAGGGCTCTGTTTGGTTGGCTGAACCACCAAGGGAAAGGAAAAAAAAAAAAAAAAAAAAAAAAAAAAAAAAAAAAAAAAAACACAACGCTGGCATCGCAGTTCAGTCCTGTCAGCGAATGTTGGACTCTTACTCATGAGAACTCTCCTGGTGCAGACCCTTGAAAACATGTGCATTTTGCTTTTCATTTGAAATCTCACAACCATGAACTGCATGTTTGAGACCTTTCTGTTCTCTGCTCTTGGGCCTTTTCTGGAGAGAATCTGTCACCTTTCAGCTTGTCTTCTCTGGCTGTTTCACTCTCTCTTGCCCTGGTCAAGAAACCTTGAAATGTTTGCACATGTGGCCTCTCACCTTTCTTCCCTGCATCCCCAAAAGGGGACAATCTCATGCTTCTGGTGTTCCTGGGATGTTTACCTAAGCCGCACTAAAACTGTTTCCCTGTGTGGAGTAATTTTGTGAGTCAGCCTTGCAACTTGGAGATCTCGCTCTCTTGCTTCTCATTGGCAATCTGAATGGTCTGTCCCAGCAGGGCTTTGGGCCAGCCTGGCTAGAGCTGGGAAGGGGCTAAACCCAGAAACTGTGGGGCAATGGTAGCTTTCCGTCACTCCGTCACAGAGAACATTATTTTAGATCGTGGTTTGGAGTGTTCTTAATTAGCCCCATTGCGTGGGCCTCTGCTGAGGCTCTACATCAGCATGAGGTGATAAAGCCGGTCACCTCAAGGCCAAGGAGCAAGGCAGTCAGGATCTGGGATAACATGATCCCATTCAAGGACATCCCCAGTCCCCTGCTGGGAACCAAGGTTTGATTGTTACTATTTGTTCATTTTAAGTTGGGGAGATCCAGGCCAGGTTTTGTATATGCTTAGCAAACAGTTTCTACTGAGCTACATCCTGGTCTTGGGGACCAAGGTCCTAACACATGGATTTGGGGTGATGTATAAGATCCAAGTATAGCAGTAGGGTGTGTGTGACTTGGGAAGATCCTTCTGTACTCTCTTCTTTACCTCACCCGTGAAACAAAGGGAAGAGGTGCCTTTCTTTTTACCTCATGAAAAGAGATCACCTGGCTTTTCTTCAGTCCATTTATGGTTAAGTTTCAATTGGAACAATTCTAGAATTCCTCTTGAGGATAATTCTGCACCAGGAGAAAGTTAGTTGTATATGTCTTAAGTTCTCCCAGTAAGAAAATCAAGGACAATTTTCTACCTAGTTTGGAAGATAGATACTTTAAAATAGGGCCTGGGAGTCGTGGCAGAGCTTTCCAGAGCAACCAAGTTTCCTTTTACATCACTGCATTGGGTAGTTGACTTTTGGGATACCAGGGATACGTTTTCTGAAACGTGTGACTTTTAACATCTTCTGGTAGTAGCATTTGCTGGAAAACTAAGAATAAATAAATAATGTTCATGCTATACTAACTGTGCAGATATTTTTGGAATCTTCTGCATAGGAAAGACGCTGGGAGATTGCTGTGCAATAGCAGTGGCTTGGTTATCTGCCTTCTGGGACAGATCCGGGGAGCCCCAGTGCAATTAATGGTCAGACATCTGAAACAGCTATCAAGCTGTCAAAAATCTACTCTCCCCAGCACTTTTTGCCATCCTTTCCACAATTTGAAATTCTACATTTCGAATATATCCTCGAGGTAGTCTGCTTTTTCTGGCTTTATTGCCTTGGGATGGACTCCCCCACCCTATTAGATCACTGTCTGCTTCCTTGTGTTGCTGAGTACCTTGTGCTTCTGTAGTAAATCAGGCTTAAAGCAGGGGGAAGGACATACTGGAGACATTTTCTTTTCCTAAGAATATGCTTAGTGAGTTACCAAGTCAGGGAATCAGAGACTGTAATACAATCCTAAGCAAGAAGAGGAGCTTTGGGACCCCGTCCTCTCTATCCTTGTTGCCTCCACCTCATCTTGATCTGCCTTCAACACGAGAGGCGAGAGTCTTTTCAGTACAGAGGGTTTTCCTTTTTCCATATCAGTATTGTACCAGGACCTTGAAGATACTAGACCCTCTCTCTTTCTCTCTCTCTCTCTCTCTCTCTCTCTCTCTCTCTCTTCCCTCCCTCCCTCCCTCCCTCCCTCTTCCCCTCTCTGCTACACCCCCAGCCATCAGAATGAGCCTTTTGGAATGCCTGTCTTCACTCTGTCTGCTCACTCTGCTACCCAGAACCCCACCCCAGCGTGCGTCAATCGACTACATGCAGTAACTCCACCGCAAAGCTCTGCGGAATACATGTGTTGTGTTAGATCATGCCACATCTTTCTCTTGCTCATAACAGCAGAGGAAAGGCTGTGAGCCCCTCACAGGAAGGATTGGGATATTTCTGTGTTCACATCACTCTGCAATTTGGTCCCTATTTACTGAATTGAACTCAGGTTTCCTGAATACATGACAGCATAAGGTTGCGATGCAAAAGCTGTGCTGTATATCCCCCTGCCTGGGCCAAGTCCCACTCTGGCGGTACTGTAGTGAGCCCGGCTTTGCTCTGCAATCTATCTTGCAAACAGCTTGACTCCAAGCTAATTTGAAAAGCGTGATTTTGTAGGAGGTGACAGCATACTTGGCTTTACAAGGCAGGCGTTCTTCCTGCGTTAAGGGAAGTAACCATTAGGTGATACCATTGTAGGTGCTTCAAGGAGCTGAGAGTGAGGCCACAGGAAAGTCACATGTGGGAAGAGCTCATAGTCCACTTGCTCTCTGAGACCAGGGCTGCTGCCTGCCTGCCCTCGGCACTACCTACCTAGCTCTAGTCAATCCCAGAGAATTTTGCTCAGAGGGGCTTCCAGGATGTCCCCATTCTGCAAATGATCCCTCTCTTCGTTTCAGGGAACCAAATCTGAATGCATGTCTTTACTTTCTGTAGTCACATTAATTGTCTATCCATTACTTTAAAAAAAAAAAAAAAAAAAAAAAAAACCTCTGTCTATGCAAATGAGAATATATGAAATAAAAGAAAAAATCCTTCTCCCCACCACAGTTCTACTGAGAATCTCTCCTCTCCAACAGCCTGAGTGTGTAGTATGGGTCAGTGTGCGGGCAATGGCTCTGCCATAGCTTCATGAGACCTCTTCTTCCCTCAGATTGTGTTTCTGATAGTCCGAGGGTGGAGGTGGGATAGACAGAAGCCCTCATCCCCCCTTCACTCTACCTACTTTATGACTCATTCACTTGGATTGAGAGACTCAAGCTGTGAACAGAAAACACTGGCAAATGTGGACGGGACTGAAAGGTCTATACCTCCCTTAGCTATGGCGGTCTACACCCACAGATAACTGGAAGCAAGGCATAGTGAGAGGTCTCCAGGTCACAGAGGGTATATCCTTAACGGAGGCTGGAAGAATCTCTCTCTTCCTGCTCTTTCCTTTCTTCTCAGCCGGGGACTGAGCTTGCTCCAGTGCACTGTCCCTGCTTTGATGGACTGACTCGCCACAGGGTCAAAACAACAGAGCTTAAATGATACGATACTACCATTCCAGGGCTCATCTTGGTTCTCTGTCCGACAAAAAGGCAGAGACGTGGGTAGAAAACAAGGCTGCCTCAAGGCAAGTTTTTTTTTTTTTTTCTTACTTTCCTGGGGTCCCTGAGGCATCTGTATGGACTAGATGGAAAAGTGTGGGGAACACTTTCCCATGGCAGCAGATACCAAAGCCATGGCTGGGGGCTGGACTTGCCCCAGTGTCTCTGCCAGGAAAACCAGTCAGCACATGCATGGTTCCTAGACAGGGTCTAAATCACATTCCTGGAATGGAGAGGTGCTACAAAGCTCAGGGATCACAGGGACTCAACTCTGTTTGTCATTTGCACTCAGGTGGAGCTGGAAGCAAGGGAACTTGGTAACCTGGGTAGGAACCAGATACAGGGAGGGGAGCCTGACAGTTTTATCTCTTAGATGTAATCAGGGAGGGGTGAGGCAGCTGGCCAGCTGGCCAGCTGGAAGGAAAGCTGGGAAAGGTAAACCCAGGGTGACTTCATCAGCAACTCCTCCACCTTCTAGTAGCTTTATTTGCCCTCCTCCCTTTGTAGTCTCTGCAGAGACTGTGTTCTGCACACAGAAGATTGAAGCATCTTCTCTGCATCTGGTAGGTGACTGCTCTCCACCCCGAAGGAAAGGGTTAACCTGCACGTGGGTCTATTTTAATAGTGTGCCTATTTTCCTCAACCACCTCTTACGCACCAGTCCCTCAGTAGGACTTGCTCTGATCCTTGGCGAACTATCTGCCAGCCGGTCTATTAGGGTGAAAGTTTTTGAAGTCTGTTTTGATTGCTAATCTCCGAGAAAACAGGTCACACATTGTACTGCTAGTTGGTGGTGGTGTCCAAAACCAACAGTGGCCCGAGTTTCTCAGGCAAGAAGGATTCTTGGCTTAGGC